AAGTAATAATAATAATAAAGCTAGATATATTTAATTTACTTATAAACTTTTTAGTAATAAAGATTAAATATATACTAGAGATATATTTAATAAATTATTAGAAAGAGGTCAGGAATAAAAGAAAGTAATAAAAAAGAGAAATAGTATTTCTTTAGTAAAATAAGTATTTATTATATTTTAAAATCGAGTATATATAAGAAATTAATTCCTATTATAATAAAATATAAGAATATTTATATTAATTAATAATAGGAAATAGCTTAAATAATAATAGGGCTCAGCTACTAGCTTTTATAAAATAAAGAAGTTATAATATAAAATATATATTATAATAAAATACTAAAATATATTTGAACTATTACTTATAATAACTTAATAAATTCTATAAATCTCAAATATATTTAACCCGAAATTAGTATAAATTTATTAGTTATAATATAATACTCTTATTCCCGAATATAATAAACTATAAGTCCGTTTTTTTATTATAATATTAATAAAATACTATATTAATTTCATATAAATTAATATATTAAATAATTAGATTAGATTAAATTAAATTAATAGCTATTAATCTAATCTAATTACGAAATATATTTATTAATTATAATTAATTTAATTAATCTAATTAATACACACGTGATCTTACACGTGACAGGGCTAGCCGAATCTGGTAATACTCCTGCCTGCTCTAGCTTTAGTACTATACTAATTAAGGGCAGTAATATTTAGTAAGTAACTCAAAGCTAAATTAAAAAAAGGAGAATATAGGAAAATAACTAGTTTATTATTAAAAGCTAGTATATAGCTACTATTATATAAGCCCTAGCTTAGTTTACTAAGGCTACTTAATAGGTGCCTTAGTTATTTAATACTTATTAAGTAAATAGTAATTTATTATAGTTATATAATAGATTAATTAGATTAATTATAATTAATCTATTTAATTATTCTAATCTAATTAAAAAAAAACTGAATTATATTAATTATAATCTAATTACATTAATTGATTAATTAATTAATTTGATTAACGTGATTAATCCTTTGACACACTGGTACAGATGATCTCACTTGTACATTTTTGGGAAATCCCATACTAAATTCTACTCTATCTAGCCTTTTTGCCTGTGGGCTTGTCCCAGTAGGCATTCATACTTGCGAGCTTTCCAACCTGCGCCGTACGTATCATCTCGACTTGGAAGGGAGGCATATACTGATGCTATCCAGAATACTTGCTTAGCAAACTTCAATACTGGCACCAATATTGACAATTGTGCTGTCTCTAACGCAGCCTGTGTCTGCGCCGACACGGATGTTCAGAGCGGTTGGGCTTGCTGCTTGAGTACTGGCTGCAATACGGCAGGCGCAGCATCCGCCATCGGCGTCATGAAGAACCAATGCCCAGATTCGCCCAATATAGGGACATGTGCAGCGAACATTGTTACCGGACAGGAGGAGGTCCGCCTAGTTTTGGGGGAGGCAGCCGTGGTGGAAGAGGCGGTGGCGGTGGCGACTTTGGGAAAGGCGGTTTCGGCCCTGGAGATTTGGAGGCGGTGGATTTGGGCAGTGTGGGAAAAGAGTAGAGTAGAGTAGTGAATCCTACTTATACTCTACTCAAATATGTCCCTCACTACTCATATTCTACTCATACTACTCTTGAATATTCTAGAGTAATTAAGTAGTATGCACATGATACTTCACGTGATACTCCACGTAATAAGCTAGCCTAATTTAGTAAGGCTCAGGGGTAGCCCAGGCCTAGCGCTACTGCACTACCTAATTAAGTAATAGCAAGGCCTAGTAAGTAAGATAAAACCTCAATAATACCTTTAGGCTTCCTCGGCTACTAGAGAGAGATTCTTCTTTTAATGTGCTCTTATTATGTCTAAATTACGTAATAGACTTAATAAGAATATTTTTGAGATAATATTTTGCTTAAAAAGCCAGTGGTTATTTAAAGACGAATTAAAAGAAGAAAAAGAAAAGAAATAGAGAAATTCTAAGGAAGAATATTAGTTTTATATAAAAGAAAAGTAGTATTTAAGTAGCCTTATATAAGTACAAGCTTAGCTTATATAGTATTACTTAATAAGTACCTTATTTGTTTATTAATAATTGAATAAATATCGATTTACTAGATTTACGTGACTTGCACGTGACTACTCTTGTGTGACGGCTGGTGTCACATGGTTAGACTCAGCTAAGGTGTCAAGCTAAGGTTCAAACCAAGCTCGGCGTTTCAGTGGTCTTGGCCGTACTTATCTACCGCCACACCTCACTCCTTCTCTCCTTAGCTTTAGATTCTAAAAGACACTGGAATCTTAGATCTTTTAGCCTCGTTCCATTGCTTCGTTCCTGCCGTCACATCTTGAGTAACTCTAGAATAGTACTCTACTCTACTCGACTCAAATACCATATTACGCTACTCAAACTCTACTCTACTCAAGACTACTCTAGAGTTACTTGAGTAGCATGAGTAATTTTTTCCCACACTGGATTTGGGGGAGGGGAAGGAGGAAGAGCTGCTTCCACGGAAATACAGACTGTGACTGAGGCTCAAACAATCAACAATCCGGTCACAATCAATAATCCAGTCACTATCAACAATCCTATTACGACTCAGAACCCAACGACTATAACAAATGAGGTCCCAATTACCGCAAAGTGCCTATTTCTTTTACCCACACCCCAAGCACCCTTTCTCACTAGTCTCATTTTCCCGGCTCGCTCCCCAAAGGTACATATCGCTTACTTGTTCTAGGTTCCGGCAACCGTTACAGCAACTCTTCTCCAGACCTCAGTATTAACAACCTCCCAGGTGATTGCCATCACATCCGTTGAATCAGCGGCTAGCGCTGTAGAGGCACTATCTGCTGCTCGCCCAACAATCCTACTTACTAGCACAGCGGTGATCAAACAGACTAGTATATTGAGCAGCGAGAGCGTCCAGAGTACGGAAGCAGTCTCACAATCTGTGTTCGGGTTCACAGCCGCAGCATCATCTACAACTTTTTACACAAGCGCAATCGGTTCAGCCGCCTCACCGCCCGCTCTGGTCCTCAGTCCGACAGACACACTTCGTCTCTCGCAACCCATGGCAAATGGTGCCAAAGCAGGGATTGCAATAACGGTCCTCATCACTGTTTCTCTAATAGCAGTCGTCATCTTCTCCTTCGGGCGATGGCGGAAGCGGGCGATCGATAGAGAGTTTGAAGAATTGAAGGAGCAGCATCATCCGAGCAGGCAAAGTCCTAAGCCAAGGGCGGTCTCGCTGTATCCAAGAGCAGAAATGACAATAGTGGGTGGTGGGGCGACGTACCGGGATATTTTTGATAAACCTGGGCGCCCGGGCTCTTTTTCTTTAGGATCAAGATGAGATGTACTTATATCGCGCATTATTAGATGGATCGCGAAGTGTGTTAAACTGGAAGCCGAGCTTTCTGACAACACCTCGCCATAAATAATTAAATATATTTGAACCTTTAGAGGCAGTGGGTTGAAACTTCAAGAAGGGAAACAAACATTATTTCTGCCTAAGATGACTCGTGTAATATTGTTGGAAGAAAGACATTTTAGATCCAAAGAACTTTCTGCAACATCGCATGAGACGCTATGAGCGAGAATGCATACGGGATGGGTGTGGTAGAAATTGCGGGAATAGTGGTGTCGCGTGAGACATTGAGGCTATTTACCCGTTATCACCAGTGCTAAGGCCTCCCTTGTGTCAGCATGCGATTCACATCCTCCTCATCCGCGGTGCTGTGACTCAAGTTCCCATTATCCGAAAGTACTCTTCGGTATCTGGCGGGATTCCCATGAGTCGGTGAGAACCCCGGTGCAGAGCTCCGTGAGTTTACAGCGTTCTAGCACGTCTCAGAATGTTTTCACTTCGCAGACACTGCGTTGCGTTTCGATCACATCTCGTAGCTATCTAGCTTAGAAGTTGAAAGAGATTTGTAGTCACGAAGGCTAATTTTTGAAAACAGGATGGACCAGTTGGCCTAGAGCTGAGACACAGGACTTCAGGAGAAAGAGCAAGAGGACTGAAGTTGTGGTGAACTTGGGTGACATCTCATGACGGGTCGAGTTGGATGTACAATCAGCCTGATTTATTGAGATTTCTGAAGCAGGCCATAACATCCGAGAAACCGCGGCGTTCCTATACAGAGATGAGCACCTTCGTAAACTACGACAAATCTAGACCTGGTTCTTTTTATCATTGTAGATTGGAGAATTAAATTTAGCGAGTTCTGTTCGACTTAATCTAATAAATGATTGTTGTTTTCGTCCTTTTCCATCCGCAAAACAATCTACATCTAACTCCCAGAGCATGAGAGAAAACAGATTATGTTTAGAAAACAGTTGATCATGATTTTCGTCTCGAAACACATCTGCCGGCGTCCTAATATCGGGTTTCAAGGATTTGGTCGCATTAGACTTCTCATCATGCGATGAACCTTAAGGGAGTGAGGAGTCAAATAGCAGCCCGAAACCCATACATGATGTTAAGGATAAAAATTGGAGGAAAGTCAGGCAAAGCGGAGGTTTTGGTGTGAGTAGTGCCGTGCCAGCGCTGGAGAAGGGTGCTCAGAGAGCAAGGAGGCCTTCACTCTTGGAACGCCACTGAAGACTTGGCCGGCACAACCAGCGGAGAAACGATCTGGAAGTTGCAACATAACCATCTGCCGGGAAAATTGCTTGATGAAGCTAAATGCCAACAATGCAGGTCGATTGTGAAAGTGGAGAGGTGAGAGATGGTACGAAGTGGCCTTCAAGCTCAAGCAGCATATCATGCCGATACTGCATCAGGTTATAAAACCACAAGACCAAGCACTCTCCACCATATTCGGAACCACCGCCTCCTTGCACCTTTCCTCGCCAAGTCACAAGCGAGAAGACGATCGCGGTCCTCAAGCCATCGTGCTGATTGTGGCCAGCGCTCAAGCGAAGCGTATCAGAGCTCACTAAATAAGAGGCATCACGGGGGCTGAAATCGTGGGGGAAATTAGATCCTGTTGCTACATTGTCTTACGCTTGCATTCCGGTCAGTTGGCATTGGAAGTATGGAATACATGCTTCAATCCGAAAAAGCATCTCCCTTCGATTTAAGTTTATATAGGAACAAACCCTGAAAACCCGCAAACATTCGGTCCAACCAACAAAGAAATAATCCTTTTCACCCTGAGACTTGGCTACAAAAGCAAACGTTTCTCAAACATCTCTCGACGTTTTTTTTCGAGCCTACGATCGACCTCGTCAACGTTCTTCCTAAAGTCGGCGGAGTCATTCCAAGCTTCCCGTCTCTGCTCTTCCACTTGTTTCCTAACATTTTCCTCCATTGCAAACTCTTAAAGCGAAGTCAGTAAATTCCAACCTAATCACAAAATAGTATAATATGACTTACGCGGCATAGTGCCAATCTTCTTCTTCTTTCCCAATATTCTTTTACCCTTCTCCAACGCTCCCTCAACACGATTCAAGAAATCAAAAGGCGCAAGATCACTCCCTTTCTTCTCCGTTTCCAGAACCCGAAAATCATTAAGATGCTCCGTAAAGACCTTATTTTCATACAACACCTGCTCTCCGATGACGACGTTTGAGGCACAGTTTTTGAGCACTTCAAAGGTGATGGAGATCCGCTTCCCGCTTGCGAACGTCCAGTGGGTGTGTATTTGCCCCACCATCTGCTTGTAGCTACCGTCCGCGAATTGTAGGTAGTTGCGAGCTTCAGCGCTTCGGTTTATGACGAAGTTCAGTTTTTGGGCGTAACTGTGGGACGTCGTTAGTGGACAAGGAGGCAAGAGCCAGCTGGAAAATAGGAGGGGCCCCTACTGGAAGTCTATCACATTTCGCTCAGCTCCAGTATCTGGGAGAGCAAGCACGTGCTCATGTGACCCCAAGGTACCCTCCATGCGACGAAATGTCTCCCCCAAGAGTCCAAACTTGAATGATCTAGGTGCGGAGAAAACACATTGGCTGAGGCGGTGTTGGTATTTTGACAACGTCTGTGTTTCAGCGAGGAACCTTCTTCCTAAGATCAGGTCGTAGATGCAAGTTCCGAGAACATGGCATGTTATGGTGGTTATGTTGCGTGAATCATCCCCAAATGCCCATTGAAATTGGACAGTTCCTGTCATAAATATTGGTGGGGCTCGAGGAACTGCAATAGGTTGAGGAAAGACTTACCCAGGGACACGATCTGCTTGGAACTCCCAAGTTGAAATTTGTGGGTGCTAGGTCGGATGTCGAGACCTAGACTTTGGGCAAATGTCAAAGACACAACGTTGTGTGTGGCTCCTGTATCGGCGATCCCTGCTGTTGAATGTCCGTTGGCGAAACCCCTGAGACCTCTCTTAGTCTTTTGAGAAGTCTCGACTGGTTGAATCAGCATTGTTGAAGCCCAGCGAGAGGACTTCAAATCTTCGCCTCTACGATTACGAGCCCTCTTCTGCCGCCGTTGCTTCCAGCTTGAACCCGCATTTGGAGATTTGTATAGAAACCAGATGGTTGAGACGAAGAATAGCATATCGCCAATCGAAATCGTGACCTGGGCCGTTGTATTGAACCAAACGACCTTCCAACTGTCACCAGCTCCGTAGTCGTCACAACCGTACTCCGCGTACATGGCACAGAGACATGTGACCTTCTTGGTCTGAGTGACACCCGTGTCCTGATTGGTCTGGATATCGAAATGAGGATCACGTGGTATAGCCATAGCGGCATTTGTGTTGCTGTGTGCGATGCGTTTGTGGAAGGTGTATGGCTGGCAGCTAGTTAGCACTGGAAGATTCAAAACGTTGAGGAAGTGGAGAGCTTCGAAGTGGTCTTATACCAGATGCATGAAAACAGTGGAGTCATTATGGCTCTTGAACAGTTCTTAATCTCCCAGCTCCCAAGGAATAGAACAATAAATAAGTATGGGGATAAGACTTACGTGGCTGTATGGGTAGGCGTATGCACCGTAAAGCCATATTCCCGGGAAGAGTGCCAGAGCACTTAAGGCAAGAGGGATGGCTACAAGGCCTGGGGGCGACCTGGCACCAGATGTCCCATTTTGAAGTATCTTGGTGTATGTTCTGAGCGCCTGCACGAGTCGTTAGAACATACTTAACGACAAAGTGGTGCTTGGATGCCGAGGGACTTGCCAGCTGCGCCGCATAGAACGTCGGAGGAATAGCTATCTTCCCCAATAAAATAATCACCTGACAAGCCCTGACCTTCGAGTGATTGACCTTTTGCTTCCCAAGCCCGTAAATTAGAACTGCTCTGGTGGCTAAATAGTTAAAGTACTTGATAGATCCAGCCCAAACTGCAAGCCAAATGTATTTGGTGCATTCGCCTAAAAAGATGCCTAAGCGCACCAATAAACAAACCGTAAGGCAGGAGGCTAAAATGACATAAAAAAGTACAAGTGGCCAATCCAAAAATAATATGTATGGCTCAAGAAACCGAGGGACATCTTGGTTAAGATCAAAGACAATGGCAGTGTAAATAAAGGCTATCCCTAACCATCGTAACCGTCGAGCTTTGGGACGATCAATTTTCTCCTCACCTTGAGCATTTAAACAATTTCGATGATGAACTTCATGCCGTATGAGCCCGTCTGGCGTACTTCGGTACTATGTTACGTGAGCCTTGTAAACACCAGAAGGTGAAATAATGACAGCATACGCTGATGTGCCCGCTGCTATGTGCTATTCTACCTAGCATCGAGATATTGGCGCGGAAAGATGGGAAGTCCGCAAATTTCTTCATGGCTTGAGAACTTGCAGAGTTGAAATCGGAGGCATTGTCCGGGCTCTCCAGCATGTTTTGATCATGCCAACTTCCACCGAATTCATCAATGGCTTTACTCTTCGCACGTTCGTATTCGATTATATCGGTGTGGCGAAAGGGATATTGATCCGGACGAGGGATAAAGATCCGACCACGAGTCAGAGTCTAATTTGAGGTGCCCATTAGCGCTCTCCATCTCTCAGAAGGCATCGACAGAACTCTTACCATGCAATCAAAGACAAAATGCACGTCTGGAAATTGCTGCGCTGGCTCGACATGAGTATCGATATACTCCTGGTAGGAGCAAAGATCAGGCAAGTGGACGATCCACTCTCCATCGGACTCCTGAGACATCTTGTCCCAGGAGTTTGGGGACTCTTGCGATATTGTCCTTCTCTGAACCACAATTCAAAGTTTTATTCAGCAAAAGAAGATTGAAAAGGGTAACGAAAGATAGAACCTTAGTTCGCACATTTGAGATCGGTCGTACTATACAAAGCGGGCGTGGGCGGTTATGCAGGGCCAGCACATCAGGTGGACTCAGCCACTACCAAGGCTTTTCTCCAGGCATACCCTCAGATTTTCTTTTTCGAGCTTCGCCGAACCGCATCTCAATTCTGTGAATATTCCGCTGTCTTGATGGAGGCTCAAGGACGAACTAATCACGGATCTCAATGTCTACGAAGCTAGCGACTGCGGGTAGGCTAAAAGGGTACCCAACGTTCTCAGCATTCATTGCAAGAGATCAGGACGCAGCAATCTATCGCAAATATGAAAGTCTGAGTGCGCGGAATCTTTTGTACATGTCGAGTGAGATTCATGAGCTCGAGGGCCAGTTGAAGGCTCTGGATGAGGAAGATTTCAAAAGCTCTTGTTTTGTAGCAGAAGGGGCGGCGAGGAAATGGGAGCATTATAGTACTGGCAAAGAATTGGGAGTCCAAGCCCATCGCGACTTGCAGGCGAAGATCAAAGTGAAGCTGAAGGAATATCGTATGTGCAGTGCGAATGAGGGCGCCGGAGACGGTATGAGAAGTTCCACCGACGGCGGGGTAGATGAAGCACTTTTGCTAGAGAGCCAAGTACTGGCCCTCAAAAAACCAACTCAAAGGACGCTGAGAAATGTCAAACGTTGGTTTAGCAGTGGAGGCCAGACAGTGCTCCTAGGAAGAGACACGCATCTGTTTGATAATAAGAATGATATGGTTGCACTTGCACCTCTTGATGATGACCGACTAAGTAGACTACTGAGGGCAGTCTTTGGGTGGTGCTTCGAGGTAAGTGGTTCTTGAGCTCACACTTTTAAGTCCATGACAATCTAATCTTACCGCTTTCAGGATAGAGATTCTCGAACTCGCCGGTTGGAGCAAGGGGATGAACTCTACTACTTTCCGGAACGGAAGATCCAACGAGTTGGTCTTGTCGTATCGATCTTGTTGAGCGCTATACTTCTGATAGGAGCAATATCTTGCCTGTACATGGCTACCAACAGGAGCAAGAACCTCATTCTGGGCATGATCGTGTTGTTCACTTGCCTCTTTGCGTATGTTGTTGGACTTTTGACGAATGCTAGAAGAGCCGAAGTGTTTGGGTCGACTGCTGCGTAAGTATCTTTTCTTGAAGGTAATCCATATGTACTGATGCATGTATAGATATGCGGCAGTCCTTGTTGTTTTCGTCAGCAACCCCCCTGGGATTGGATGAGAGATATGCGGAGGTATTTGCATTGAAACTTAGCAGATTGAATTTCAAAATTCAATGGTCGGTGGCGGGGTGGGATTCAAGCACTAGCCATAGCACCTTGAAAAAGAAAATGCAGTCGGAGTGGCCGCAGCAGCATCAGGAGTAATACGTAAGGGAAGAAGAATTATGCGGCAAGAGACAGAAATTCTGATGATTTGGGAAACCATATGTGCATTGAATCGTGTGCAGATACCATCATATACAGGTATTGAGGAAAAGAGAGCTAGGGTATCCGTCACATGCAGAACGCTGAAATGCATCGAATCATTTCCACCATCATTATACCTCTTTGACAATCAGGTTGTCCGAAGGCTTAACTCGCTGTGCCCATTCCCTAAATTATGTCAGTAATATTGAGCCACAAAGAAAGAGGAGAAACGTACGTCCAACTGCCATCATATAATCTCCGCTTAGTCTCATCACCATAAACAGCCTCCGTCAACGCAGCATCGATAACCGCAGCCGTAACACCCGTCCCACAGCTGTTGATGATCGGCCTCTCGGGATCAATGCCCTTGGTCTCGAAAACCTTCCTTAGCTGGTAACCTGGCAAAATAGTCTTCTTGACCGGATCCAACAGATCAGAAACCGGCACCGATATACTTCCCGGCATATGCCCACTGCTCAAACCTTCTCGAGGCTCCGGATCCTTCCCCGCCCACCTTCCCTTCGACCTCGCATCCAGAATCTGCACTCCCTCCGCACCCTCCTTATTGTGATCCTTCGCCACCTCTCTTACCTCCTCGAAATCAATAATCTTGCTAGCATCAAACTGAGGAATCGGGTAGACGCAGGTATTCACATCCCAGAACTCTCCACTCTCCGTAGGAAACCCCTCCTCCACCCACAGCTTAAAGTTGTTCAGCACATGTACAGAATCATGTCCAAACGCCTTCAATGTCCATCCTACCCTCGGCGCGCTGAAGATCCCAAGCTCCAATGAGTCATAAACCACCACCGTATCATCCCTCTTGATCCCTAACGCAGACATAGCTTTTGCGAAGTCGGAAGCGGAGGGAAGCATGTGCGGGTACGGCGAGCGCTTGTCACACACCTTATCGAGGTCGAAGAAGCGGGCATTCGGGATGCGTTTCTCGCGGAAGGTCTGCAGGCCATTGCGGCCGTCGTTGGGGAGGAACCAGCTTGCGCAGAGGGGAACGGTCTTCGGAGCTGTCGAGATCTTGCTTGGTGAGTTCTTTTTCAGCGCTTCTGATAGCTCAGCAGGCGTGACCAGGTACGAGGAGAAGGAGCGGGAGGATGCCATTCTGAAGAGAGGTGATTGGCATTGAAATTGAGGTCGGAAGGGCGAGGAAAGGTGGAAGCGGGCTCCTCGGAGGAGCACGAGGGACCCCATGGCGTGCTGCCGTTTGTTTGCGGCCGTTATCGGGAGGGCATGAGAGTGGGATGATGATCGGGACAATGCTTTGAGAATATATGAAGCTGGAGAGAGGAACGAGGAATTGGAATAGACAAAGGAGAGGCGATCTGCAAAAGAGGGGTTGGTGAGCGGCAGGTGGGAAAGACTGGTGTGGCTTGCTGCTCGCCCAGATAAGAAGCTCAGCACGTGAAAATCGGTTGATCGCGACGACGACGCGTTGTAAACATCGACAACCAGGTCCAACCTTGAACTCGACTCCTTTTTGCGCCGCAGATTGTAAACAAGCAATTTGCTCTACGAAGAGTCTTCCGAGAAAGCAAATTTGATGTTTATGCAACTCCAAAGATGAAGGTCAAGATCAAGAAGTGGAATGCGGTAGCAACATGGCGATGGGACATACCCGACGACGACGTCTGCGGAATCTGTCAAGTACACTTCGACGGCACCTGTCCAACTTGTAAATATCCAGGAGATGATTGCAGTCTGCGTATGTCCCTCCCTTCCCACCTTCCCCTTCCACCACTAAGCAATTCGAGCAGTCTCCGGCAAATGCGGACATAACTTCCATATGGTTAGGGAGCTCGAGATATGATGGCTGCACAAAGCTGATGAGATATAGCATTGCATTGTAGAGTGGATTAAGCAGGATTCTTCGAAGGGGCAATGTCCGATGTGTCGGCAGAGTAGGTTGACCTGGTCCATGGGGCGAATATATGCTGATGGCAAGCAGAATTCGAATGGACGGATAACCCTGCAATGGGAGCCCCTCTGCGAGCTGAATAATGATCGAAGTTGATTCTGCACTGGGCTGGAGTTGATACCTTGCTTGGGGGCTTGGACGGAAAAGAAATACTGGGTTCATGATACCACGATGTGGGAGCGAGCATGTTTGGAGTAAGCGGCTACTGGAGTACTGGGAGAATGCATATGATACCCTTCAACCCTGAATGTTGCAGTTTGCGCTGGGCCCTTGCGAGGAGAGGGAGACACATTGTTCTGGAGTTGCAGCAGAAGTATGACTACCTCTCCAACACCCCTTCGCCCATCCTATTTCATAAAGTTCGCATCGCTCCATACTGTCTCTTCAGTGTGAGGTTCTTTGGGGCGGATCAGAGCGCCACAGGACGGTGATGTGTTTCTTCTGATTCAGAGCCGATGCCCAAATAATCCTTTGTAATGCGAAGTGTATGGGAAAGAAGGGAATATTCACATCTTTGGGATTTCTACACGGTATCTTCCACGGTTGACATTCAAGTGGACTCGGCTCCGATCATACCAAATCCCAGTGACATTCACGGAGATGGTGTCTCGTTATCAACACTTGAAGCGTGAAGGCACAAGATACTAGAGAGCCCCTCAGCTCAAAGCTCCTCAGGTAGTGTATCAAACGTTCACGGCACGCAGAAACAGAGCATGAAGAACCATCTTTATCAGTATTAACAAGCTATCACCATCCAGAACATCCAACAGAGAACCCAAACTCGAAATGGATCAACTCAACCGAATCATGAATAGGGAAAAGAAATGGACATGTTGCAAAGTAAGCTCGAGGTCTCGTATATCCCTCATCCACATCGTATGAGATAAATCGTTAAAACCATACATGCAGTGCTTAGAGACGAACAAGCTCAATGAGCAATACTGCACTCATTGCCAAGGCACAAGTTTTCGACATCAAGCATGTAAAGCATGCGATGAGATTACCGAGAAGGAGTTGAAAGAGGAGACAGTGGTGCTGCTTCAGCTGTTGGATGAAGAGGAGCGGAGGGAGATGGGTCGTGAGGGTTGATGTGTAGCAGAACCCATGGGAGCGACGCCTTGGTAGATTGGGATTTGGGAAGGTGGAGGTGTGAATCGTGGCTCATGGTTTCTATATGAGCACTTCCGTAAGGAACCGATGCACGCGTGCAGACGTAAAAACCAATTCTATTTCCTGTTCTCCGGTCAAATCCACTTTCCATGAGAGTAAGAGAAGATCTGCGAGATTTTATTTCACATTTGGGGTACGAGCTGGAGGGACATAGAGAGATGACGGAAGAAGTCAGGTAAATTGGTGGGAATGGCTTTCATGATCTGCTGACATGTGGATTCACAGGGGATATGTGAGATATTCAGTCTTTTGTAAATCAACGAGTTCGCATTTCCGTTCTAAATGCCCACTGCCTTGACCCCAATCTCCAAGATTGTTGGAGATGTCTGACTGGACCTTCATCCCAGTTACCTATACCAGGTGGATGGAGGTCCGTGCTCCATGTGGCAAGCAAGACACCTCAGTTGCGAGCAAGTACTACGTGCAACTTCTCCTGGTCTCGCATAGTGGGCACTGGGTACACGGACCTCTGACAGAGAAGTTCACAGATCTTTCAGATTGTGACAATTGTCCAACCCGCGGCATCGGTCCAAGTTGTAGTCGAGATCGGTGTTGCAGTTGGTGAGACGAAGTGATAGTTGGTATGAGCACTTTGACGGTGATAACCACGTCGGCAGCCGTACTGTTAAGAAGTCGGTGGGTCCTGGACCAGTTCAGTAGCCTGGGCAGTTTGAGAAGGCGCAAGAAGCATAGTGACCCTCTCCCGGCGAGTTTTGAGCTTCATGTGGGCAGAGGGAATTTGGGAAAGTGAAGCGTTGAGGGCCCATAGTTGAGTGGGTGTGTTTGGAGTGGACCTTTGTCAGTTGTCAAATCACATCATTCCCCCCTGCTAGACTAGGGGCACCAGACCTTATATAAAGACCTTTAGAGTCCGCTCTTGGAACTGCAATCGAGTCCTTCTTTCCTAACCAACAACTGTAGTATTGTCGGAGCTTGTGTTTTCTTCTGATTTGAGAGGAGTTTGGAACTTTGTGTTGTGTAAATGAAAGGATAGAACGCAGGCTAAAGGAGCTTCGGGGGCTTTTACGCGTGAATTGTGCCTAAACTGAATCACAATAACTGTCTCATGTTTATGTTTCCTTGATATAATAACGGACCACCAGGCGATGATGTTGTACAGATTGATCTGTATGTACGCCTCATGATATCATTGGGACCCATCACATACTGGATAGCAACTGAATACCGTCTCTCCAGAGGAGCGGCCAAACTAGCTTGGTTAAGTCAAGCAAAATGCCTCCAAATATTGAATACACAACTTGTAATCGTGAGAACTTGAGCCCAGGCTTTGAGAGGAGAATTCGTAGAACAATACATAGGAGTGATATGAAAATCATCGATTCTGTTTCCTATTCTAAACAGAATTTTCCTATGCCCAAAAACGAGGCTATCTCTCAGAAGCAAACAAGTCAACCGTTTCAAGTCCATCTCCGGCCTTCCTCGTTCATGTTAGGCGATCGTAAGATTGGTCCGTTAAGGCAAACCTCGCACCTTTCTGTCGTGAAGTGACTTCTTCTATTGTTTCCTGGGCGCACACAGTGTTTGCGGGCCTTGGTATTCAGGCGAGCCAGGCCAGCAGCAGGGGAAAGCACGCGGTCGAGAATTCGTACTTGAGTTGATATTCTTGAAGGGAACTTTGGTCTTACGATGAGTTGTTTTTTGCAATATTTTGAGAGGAGTTGGGTAATTTGTGTTGTACAAAAGGAATAGTAGAAGGCACGTAGGTGGGACTTTGTGAGGATTTTATGCTTCGAGCCTTCTCCCCAATGGGGTGTGATCCACAAATTGTCATGTCTTGCTGATACATGGAAAAAACCTCAACAGGCTCATTTCTCGTGAATAAATGCGTGCGAATGTCCTTTGATGTTACAAAGACTCAATAACCTTACAAATAACTCAATCCAATCTACCTCGACTCGCTTGAGCCACAGTCACCCAAAACACTTCCAAATATTGAAAGCACAACTTTACGTAATTATTAAAACGACTTACAACCAGGATTTAAGGACTGTACATCTAGGACCCTACCTGTTCTATCAAATTAGAAGAGGAGCTTCATATATTAAAATACTTTCAAGTGTTGTAACTGAATTAAGCGAAGCTGCCCCTGAAGTCGATGGAATACAATCATGGATCACCACAATAGCACAAAAGCTTATTCACGAATCGAATGTTATTGCCATACTGGTTATTTTAGAAGAGTTCTATCGGCTTCAAAGTATACGCTTCTAAATACAAGACATGCTTCTGCTAATTTCTTGGGGGATACATTGGGTGTAAGCATTCCAATCTCAGCAACGAGTGCTTGGTCAATATCTTGCGGTTCGAGAGATCGGTAAGCTGGTTGTTTGAGCACTGATTGACTCGATTGGCCCAATTCTGCACTACCATCAAAAGTCTTCCACTTCATCTGCAAAAAGAGACCTCTGTTGCATCCGACTCCACTATCGAGGAAGGAGGCCCGGGAGACCATGTGCCTCTGCAGCAGAGTCCAAGAACCACAACTTCAGCACTGTCCGTTGCCACACATCGTTGGACACGAACCCTTGACGTAGGTACCACAGTTTATCATCTTTCTCAGACTAGTCTGTCTGAGTCTTGTCTTTCTGATTCTCGTCGCTGTGACTTATGTTCGCAGGAAACAATAAAGCTACGGTTCGGTTTCCTTTCTGTTCCCCCCCTTTCTATCTTGAAGCGCTTTATAGGTTGCCGCTTCGACATTTTTCATTTCCGTGTTTCTTTCTCCTTCTCTGTCTCTATCTCGGATCGCTTCATGAACGGCCTCAGAATGTTTTCTCTCCATGCCTGATACAACATCACCATAAATCGAACCAGTGTGGGCAAAAACTACTCAAGCTACTCAAGCTACTCTAGAGTAGTCTTGAGTAGAGTAGAGTAGAGTTTGAGTAGCGTAATATGGTACTTGAGTAGAGTAGAGTACTACTCTAGAGTAACTCAAGAGTAGTCACGTGCAAGTTATGTAAATGTAATAAATCGATATTTATTTAATTATTAACAAATAAATAAGGTATATATTAAGCAGTACTATATAATTTAAGCTAGAGCTTATATAAGGCTACTTAAATACCACTTTTCTTCTATAAAAACCAGATTTCCCTCCTCGAAATCTTTCTTTTCCTGCTTTTTTTCTTCCTCTTTTACTTCTTCTAATACAGTATATATAGCAGGCCATATACAAGCTAGCTTCAATCTCTTGGATTGGAAAAAGAGAAGAGACCTGACTATCGAGTTAGATTAACGTTTATTACAGTAGACCTAAGTCGGCTATATATAGGAGTTAGGTAGAAAAGCCATATTCTAAAGAGGCTAAATGAAATCATAGACTACCCCAAATTATTATAGACTTATATATCGAAGCTCTAATCGGAATCGGGAGAACCGAAGAACTTCTGCAAATCAGACTTATCTATTCCCATTTCCTGTAACTAATTATAAACCTCCTGCTCTGTCTCTATAGTATCCTGGATACCTTTCCACTCTATATAAACCTTGATATCCGAGAGCAAGCCTTCTGGTTTTTTAAAGAGGAAGCTCTATAAGCCCTAAATACGGTCGAGCTTAGACTTAGTTACAAGCTTTATAAGTAGTATAAAGAGATTAAAAAGGTTTTCGAAGCTACGGAGAGGGATATTCCATTAAGTTATAATATAAAGGATATATAATATCTTGAGATCTATATAAATTATATTCTTTTGAGGATAGAAGCAGAGATTGAAGTTAACCGGTTCTCCGATACTCAGAATACCTGGGTAATATATCTTCAGGTTATTATATAGTTATAGTATAGTAGTTTTATTACCGAATTTATAGCAAGGCGCTTGGTATAGACTAGCTAGGGAATAGAGATAGAAATCTGGCTTATTAGTATTTATATTAATACTTATATCCAGCTATATATAAAATATCTCCTACTTAATATCTTATTAGTTAAATAGTATTAGTTATAATATAGTTATAGAAATCTTATATCTGGTCTTCCGGGTTAATCCGCTAATAGAAGTTCTTTGGATAGTTCTAGTAATTCTTCCTTTAAACTATTTATACTACTATTATCTTTTACTATTTATACTTATTTATTATTAAAGGTATAAAGAGAGATTAAAGATACTATTTTTCTTAAAAGCAGTCGGTAATAATAATTATAGAAGTAATTCGGAATATTAAGTATTTACTTTTATAGCTAATATAGTAAGCCAATTATATTAAATATAAAATAGGTATATATTAAAGTTTAATAGAAGATAATCTATATAATTGCAATTCTTAATAATTGAGTATTAGTATAATAAGATAACTAGAAGTATATTAGTATCTATTTTATATTAAATAAAGGGGAACCTATAAGAGAGGTTATAGAGTTATATAGTAGGTTCGAAATATCTGGAAACTATAGAGTCTTAAAACTATTGAATATTAGGTATATCCGAATTAATAATGGCTTCTTTATTTTCAGAATATATTATATTTAATCGAGTACTAAGGATTTACTAATTTCAAAGCCTTCTCTAAATATTAATCCTCAGATATTTACCGAGATACCTAATTCAGATATCTATTCTAGATATCTATTCCAGATACCTATTTCAGATACCTATTTCAGATATTTACCTTAGATATTTACTAAGATATCTAACTCAAATACTTACTCTAGATACTTGCCTTAGATACTTATTCTAGATATAATCCTTAATATAAATATATATCTTTCTACTCTTTTACCTTTATTAGAAACTAGATTGTTTCGATCTTATCTAGAGATTCCGAATCCTTATTACAAATATATATCCTTCTACTATTTAGCTCTATTATATCTGGTAGTCTTATATTCTGGCTATCTTTTATCTATTTTAAATCTAGTAAAAGAGATCTTAATATATCTAAAGAGAATTCTCTATCGGAATATAATATAATAACTAGTTTACTAATAACCTCGTCCCGTATTAGTATTATAATAACTGGTCTATTCTAGTCTACTATTTGCTTTCCCTCCGAGCTAATAATATCCTAGATAATAATATAGCTATTAGCCCTTAAGCTAGTATTAGTCTATAGT